TGGTTAACGCTGTTTAAGGAAATAATCGCAGTTTATTCTGATAATTAATTAACCCTTCGAAGCCGAAGCTCGTCTAAATTGCATTTAAGAATTCAGTCCGTACCCCGAAGAAAACACGGAGCAAAATAATGTTTCGGATCACACGCGCTGAACACGACATGCGGATGTTCTCCAACACACATCACTCGCAAACCTGCGTGGTTACGTTCCTGAGAAAGACCGCGTTTTGCAAAACCAAAGCCTTATGAGAAATTACGGGTTCGGGGAACCGCGGTCGCTGTTAACACAACACCCATGGAGCACCCCCCCCCCCACAAAAAAATGTTGTCATAAAATAAATACAGTTGGAATCCTGAAAGACCTTGGTGTAAATCGGAGGATAATATTAAAAATATCATTGGGTCTGTGTGTGTGTGAATGCTGATTGGATTTAACTGGCTACTTGATATCTGTCCACCGGAAGTTCTCGCAGCGGATTTGGGAGTTGTTCTAGTCAGACAAAACATATGCGTGTGTGTGTGTGTGCGAGAGAGAGAGAGAGAGAGAGAGAGAGAGAGAGCGTCTCTGGTCCTTGAAGTTCCAAATTCCACCACCGGCGAGGGGGCGGGGTCGTCCCGTCTGGAGGAAGATTTTTCTGAATGATAGGTTCAGCTTCTCCCTACAGACAAGTACTGTGGCAGGCCCGTAAAACAGGCCACGACCACTTCCTCTCACATTGTTTTCAACTCGTCATTCACACAAGCCACCCTACGAATCTCCGCTGCATTACAAGTGCAGCCGCCGAAACGTCGTTAAATAAAGAAAGAATTCAGTTTTCGGTAAGTGATGATGGCTCGTAAAAAAACACTAATTCGTAAACTGAACGCCACAAGCGAAAACCCCGAAGACAAGAAATTCCAACGAAGATTTCTGTCTTCCGACTCACCGCCGTGAGAACTTAAAATCCTACAAAAAAATCCCAAAACGTTTACTGATCCGGTGTGTGAATTAAACCACCGGTTTAATTATTTTAGATCCTGCGCGCACGGGCGGCGAAACAGACGCACGGAGACCCCTGTTTGCCCGAGTAGGAGAAGAGGCCGGCCACTTCGGAGTACTAAAGAGAAACTGTCCACAAAATCGAGCTCCCAACTGAAAAGAAAACGCAGACAATGCGTTTATTTCACCGTCCGCGCGCACAGACAACAAGAATATGAGGTTGCGGTGCGGCAGAAAAACCGCTCGTGTCGACATACCCTCCCCCTATTTATCAGGCTCAGACATACGAGGTGCGATCGGAAAGTTTCAAGACTGTGTCAATAGAGGGCGAACCGGATGTAGTACGAGCTTCTGCCGCTAGGGGGTGCGGCCTGAAAACACAACGCCTCACCATTACAAAGATCAACTGGTTAACGCTGTTTAAGGAAATAATAGATTTTTATTCTGATAATTAATTAACCCTTCGAAGCCGAAGCTCGTCTAAATTGCATTTAAGAATTCAGTCCGTACCGCGAAGAAAACACAACGCCTCACCATTACAAAGATCAACTGGTTAACGCTGTTTAAGGAAATAATAGATTTTTATTCTGATAATTAATTAACCCTTCGAAGCCGAAGCTCGTCTAAATTGCATTTAAGAATTCAGTCCGTACCGCGAAGAAAACACAACGCCTCACCATTACAAAGATCAACTGGTTAACGCTGTTTAAGGAAATAATAGATTTTTATTCTGATAATTAATTAACCCTTCGAAGCCGAAGCTCGTCTAAATTGCATTTAAGAATTCAGTCCGTACCGCGAAGAAAACACAACGCCTCACCATTACAAAGATCAACTGGTTAACGCTGTTTAAGGAAATAATAGATTTTTATTCTGATAATTAATTAACCCTTCGAAGCCGAAGCTCGTCTAAATTGCATTTAAGAATTCAGTCCGTACCGCGAAGAAAACACAACGCCTCACCATTACAAAGATCAACTGGTTAACGCTGTTTAAGGAAATAATAGATTTTTATTCTGATAATTAATTAACCCTTCGAAGCCGAAGCTCGTCTAAATTGCATTTAAGAATTCAGTCCGTACCGCGAAGAAAACACAACGCCTCACCATTACAAAGATCAACTGGTTAACGCTGTTTAAGGAAATAATAGATTTTTATTCTGATAATTAATTAACCCTTCGAAGCCGAAGCTCGTCTAAATTGCATTTAAGAATTCAGTCCGTACCGCGAAGAAAACACAACGCCTCACCATTACAAAGATCAACTGGTTAACGCTGTTTAAGGAAATAATAGATTTTTATTCTGATAATTAATTAACCCTTCGAAGCCGAAGCTCGTCTAAATTGCATTTAAGAATTCAGTCCGTACCGCGAAGAAAACACAACGCCTCACCATTACAAAGATCAACTGGTTAACGCTGTTTAAGGAAATAATAGATTTTTATTCTGATAATTAATTAACCCTTCGAAGCCGAAGCTCGTCTAAATTGCATTTAAGAATTCAGTCCGTACCGCGAAGAAAACACAACGCCTCACCATTACAAAGATCAACTGGTTAACGCTGTTTAAGGAAATAATAGATTTTTATTCTGATAATTAATTAACCCTTCGAAGCCGAAGCTCGTCTAAATTGCATTTAAGAATTCAGTCCGTACCGCGAAGAAAACACAACGCCTCACCATTACAAAGATCAACTGGTTAACGCTGTTTAAAGAAATAATCGCGGTTTACAGTGAGAATCAAACGAAACTCATTAATATACTTTATGGGGGGGGACGCAGTTACCGACTGTTAAATCAGGTGGCAGTTTTTGAAACGCAGAAAATCTCACAAACGATGTTTGATCTCGTACAAAGTGACCGACGTTTCAGAGATACTTTCAGCGCCCCCTGAAACGCCAGTTAATTTGTGCGAGACTAGTGGTCTAAGATACCAGGGGAGAGTCATGTTCATATTCGCCACTGGTCTTAGTGCGAAAGAATCTGCCCTGTGCTTTTTTTAACCGCGGTTGAGAAAACATTCGTCTTATTATCTTTTTATCAGACCTTGGCCAGCAATAAATTTCCGATTATGGCTGAGTGCGGTTTCTTTATCTGAAGGTCGCTTTATCAAATCCATTTCCTGGCACTTAAGACAAAGCGATCCTTTGCTGAGCACATTTTTATCTGGAGATATATGAGCTTCTCTTATCCAGACATCATTCCTCGTACCAGCATTTGTTGCTGTGTGCGAATGTCGTCCGACAAACGACGCTCGGTTCGTCCGCGTTCATGACTTCAAATATTTCGGCTTCTCGCTGTCCTTGATTGTCAGTAATAAGGGCATAAGTACAAGACATTTCCTGTCGTAGGTTTTGGGGTTCCCACGCCACAACACAGACGATGACGTCAGCAGGTTTCTTCGTCGATAACCACGTTTCAAAACGACCGTGGACTTAGTTCACTCTCCCTCGACAGAGATAACAAAGGCGAATGTGGTAACCAAGGTCATCGTTGGGCCAGACGTGACTTTGGGTCGTGCTGGCTGCCTAATTCCTAGGAAAAGGGTGTTTTTTTATGAAACGCGAAGGTTCATCATCGTGTTCACAAGAGCCCGACACCGGACTAATATTATCTTTCCGTCTACGCTTAGGTCTCGCAAGTGGTGTCTTTCCTCGAAGTTTTTCGGAGAAACGTTTTGTTCGCAATCGTAGTTTTTGCAGCTGCGTTCGAAAAACGTCGCAACCGCCATCTTATTCTTGGTCTACCAATGTTTCCATTTCCAACGGCACAGCAGTGCCAGGCTTGTTTAGGAATATTCCTTTAAAGCACGATGGTAGCTATATGTACCACCTACTGTATCTATATTACTGGTTACACAAACAAACTCTGGGAAAGTTGAAAGTGGTACAATCAACCATTTTGCCCAGTGTTTCGTGTGATTTTCAGTGTGAACAGCGATTATTTCCTTAAACAGCGTTAACCAGTTGATCTTTGTAACGGTGAGGCGTTGTGTTTTCTTCGCGGTACGGACTGGATTCTTAAATGCTATTTAGACGAGCTTCGGCTTCGAAGGGTTAATTAATTATCAGAATAAACAGCTATTATTTCCTTAAACAGCGTTAACCAGTTGATCTTTGTAATGGTGAGGCGTTGTGTTTTCTTCGCGGTACGGACTGGATTCTTAAATGCTATTTAGACGAACTTCGGCTTCGAAGGGTTAATTATCAGAATAAACAACGATTAATTCCTTAAACAGCGTTAACCTGTCGATTGTTGCCATGGAGACGGGTCGTGTTTTCTGTGAGGTACGAACTGAGTGTTACGTATTATTCAGATGAACTTCGGCCAATGCTCCAATAATCTCGTTCCGAGCACCAGATAACATTATCGAATTTGAACGTTGTAAAGTAACTGCGTCATCTCTAAAGAAGAAACATCCGAACGACGTTAAAAGATTGTTGCCAACAAAACAGATGGTTCATTGTGACAAAAGAAACAAACCCTGAAGAAGGGAGACAAACAGCGAGTCGACAGTTTCGTCCTCGGTAACACAGGAAAATGTAAATGGATTCAGATGTCGGTAACGGTGCCTTGGTGGTAAGCATGTGTACCAGTGATATAAGGCGTCTCTGGTGGAGCGATTCACGATGTGGGGCAAAGCGAAATGAAGTCCCGGACAGGGAACGCGACTGCAATGTAACCAATCGATCAAATTTAACAAATCTTTTTGTACTCGCACTTAGAAATGTTACATACAAGTTCCATCCACCGCTGATTTTAAAGAATCTTTGCGCTACTCATTACAAATCAAGTTGACCCAGCCGCCCAACTAAGCACCGCGCCATGAGGGCGTATGGTAGATTGGAGGTAAGGCTCCACACATTCTTAACATCAGCAATGAAAGGAGGCTGAGATTTTACCCCGGGCAGAGGACCCCGAGGCTGTGTGGGCCCAGAACACAAAAATCCTGTCATGACCGGAATCGAACCGAGGTAGATTAGCCGGTGACTGTCCTCAATGAAGTATCCCGTCCCTTACTACCAACAGGATAAACATCTCAGGTGTTGTTGACGCTCTGTCGTGGGCAAAGAACGCCTTGTAGACCCATCCAAGTCTGTCTGTAGTCTTTCCTTATGGCCTTGCCTTCGCCAGACTGGACATCCCTTTCTCTGAACCATCTCAGGTTACATCAACTAGTCTTCAGGAGGATGTCGGTTGCCCCAAGGAATTTTGCCACCCACTGGCCTAGGCCATTTTTGGGGGACTAAGCCCCATTCAGGGCACACACCCACACGTAACGCCCAACACCTACTCCAATGCAGGATAAAGAACCCCAGGCCCTTACAACGTTGTTCTGCAGGGGCCACCGGGTCTTAACACTCCTGCGCCACCACCATCTCCGTTGCAACAGCAAAGAACTTGTTCATCAAAACAGAAGAGATGCAAGGGCAAAGGGCAAAGGGCATGTTTAGGTAATGTGGGCCGTGATCGACCATGGGAGTCTGATTCCATCCACTGGTTGTTTCTGCAGGGAAGTGGGAAACCTCAGGGTGAGCCCAGTTTCTGACCGAGACGCAGAGCGGAACGTGGAGTTGGCCGAACACCAGAGACACTGCGTATCCCCCGACCGGCTCTTCGAGGTGGCGTGTAGTCACGTGCGGTTCAGGCCCCAGCATGGGGAACGCAGTCGCGGTTATGAGTTGCTGCACTCACCGAGGCTCCTGGTCGTACAGGACAACGTGGAGGTCGTGGAGCACCGAGATGCAGCCCTGTACTCCACCGTAATGGAGACTCCCAGCTACCGGTTCACTATGGCGACTGCCACCAACAATAAGCCAGGTAAGAAGACAACAGACTTCGGAAGAAGATGCCAACAGCAAAATCTGCAGGTTAGCATAATAAGACTTATTTTCAGCGGACGTTCTCCATTTTGTAAAGACAGGCATGTCTCATCTGTGTTTCCCTCCTAACAAACCGATGAATTTTTGGTTCACAACTAAAAGTTTCTGACGATGGTACATTTTTAAAATAAAAAGTTTTCCATCGTCTAATAAAATCATAAAATTGCACGACGTTTCGGAGATGGGGACTCTTATCTCCGACTTCAGGTATCCCTACTCAGTTGGGCCCAATCGGTAGAGCTAATCCCTGTCTCCGGACAAGGCAAAAGGCGAAAGTCCCGGAATATAAGCCGATCAGAACGACATACATCCGTGGAACGTAAAAAGGAAAAGACATTCTCCCAAAGAAAAAAAATTATAAAACAAATGTAAAAGTTTGGAGCCTATGATGGAAATAATGTACAACCAAAGTCCAGCAAACTAAGAAGAAGAAGAAGAACTGACAATGAGAGCAAATTTAATAAAACATGAAACTGTTGAAGATCAAATAGCGTAACGAGCGAAATGCCAAAGGCTCACGTAAGAATGACGACCCACGAAAGGTGGGAAAACTTCATAAAAACTTTAAGTTGAAGTCGATGTATTTTTATTAAACACCGGTACTAACACTGTAGAAATTATCCTTAATTCTCCAATTATTTTAGATAAATAAAATACACATTATGAAAACTCATCATGCGACTCGATTAAGTTTTCTGGTTATCACAATGGCAAGTGTCAAGATCGCCGTCTTCTGGGATGTTGCGCCACGCGGTCTGGTAGAAGTTTACCAACGTTTCCGACGGAGGCATTGATGAGACTACACGGTGCAACATCCCAGAAGACGGTCACCTTCTCTCCTGGCCTGCAAGAACCCAAGTTCAAAATCGGCGATAAACTTCTTTTGGACAAACCATTCTGGAGGAAACTGGAAAAAAATTTAAACCTTTGAAAAGTCAACATTATGCCAGACAGATGTTAACCAAAATCAAGCTCACCAAACAATTCTTAAAGTTCAATACCAACACCAAATTTAATCAAAATACACCGTGTTTTCAGGGACATACATGAAATCTCACAGAACACTTCTGATCTGACATTTGATGTTAATTTCAAGAGTCTACATTCATAAAAACTGTACATTTCTTCTGTAAAAAGTTCGCACTTCTTCTACAACCCGATCGCAGACACTGATTGGCTTCCGAGCCATCCACATTAGCACAAATGAGCGGGCAGTCAGTAACACACGGCCAGGTTACATTTCCAGTTTCCTCCTTGCATCACGTAAGAAAGATGACAGAAGTCATCCAGATGTTGAACAGTAGCTGTTATTTAACCTCCATCCAGTGGCAAAGTTAAAAATGTGTGTAAGATTTACCATCATGCCCCCGTGTGTTTTCATCTCGCACTTCCAATCACAGGAATAGTTAAAACATGCATTGCAATGGGAGCATACTATGGCTGATTTCATGCTGAATAACCTCAGTAGCTGATATAGCATTGTAAAAAGTATAATGAATAGGAAACATTACTAGGATCTGTCAGGCATTGCAATGGGAGCATACTATGGCTGATTTCATGCTGAATAACCTCAGTAGCTGATATAGCATTGTAAAAAGTATAATGAATAGGAAACATTACTAGGATCTGTCAGCCAACAGCCAATACGTATGCTGCGATTCGTGACAATTTCAAAATTCTGCTCATTTAATTCCGACGTAACACACAAGAAAAAAGTTAGACCCTTAAAGTGTAAAAATTCATATAAAGTATACACAGCACTGTGCCAAAATTCACTGAGCGGGGAAACAAAAAATAATTCTGACAACTGACATTTCAGGCTATGTGAAGATTCGGGCCGAAGAGTGCATGCTTCCACACGGAAGACGTACGACATACGAAACCATCAACGATGAAGACGAGGGTGTTTACACGCACATCGCCAGTGAACGCTTGGAGGAGAACGGCATGGAGGAACAGGCCATTCAAAGTGAAAAGGACTCTTCACATCCTGAAACCCCAGAGCTGACAGAAGGCCGCCTGATGATGATTGAGATGCAGAAACACATCGAATCTGCACTAAAAGTGCAGTCGTTCCCTGCTGCACGCCCAGTGCTGAAAACACAACGAAGGAACTCGACTAAACGAGTGTTTGGGCCACAGCACCCTGACTGCGACCCGAACAAGGAGACCAGCTTCACGCCCACCGAAAGACGTTTGAGTGGCATTATTCGAGCAATCAAATTCGTGGACCCGCATATGACGGAGGAGCAGAGGAAACTTGATATCCTGAAATCAGCGCAGTCCCTGCCAAACGTGGCCTTTCCCGAGAGTCCAAAAAACAGTGGCAGCTCGGGGTACAAGTCAGAGGGTGGGTCCCCAAACCATAACAACACAAGCGACTCAGAGTATGGGTACACCACCATCACACAGCTCATGACACCACGGCCCCTGAAGGAGCGGCGGCTTGGTCACGTGCCACACAACACCTCTGAGATACCGAAGCAGTGCTTCAACGCCATCGACATACCAGTCTACGACTACGACGATGACACAGGCAACTTTAAAGAAAAGAGAAACCTGTTTGAGACACGGTATTACCTCAATTCCATCGTCTTCATGCGCAGCTTCGCAGACATATTCTCAGATAAGCTAGCAGCACCACTGGGTTTCACCAGTGGACTGAAATCTGCAACCCTCCAGGGCACCAAGATATACTGTGATACCACTAACAAAGGTCACGATTCCAGACCCGTCAAGATACGAACAGAAATTATCCCTACAATTTTTTCGGCCATCTGGCCAAAAGAAGCCCTCAAGTGGAAAACCCGCACGCGTAACCGTGTATCCGACCCACGCGCAGATATGGTATACACGTGGCCAACTCAGTCCATGCTGAAGCAGGTGCACAGCCTGGGCTGCCACCTGCTCCCACTGGGGTACATGCCCACCCGGGGCAGAAATAACGAGCAATATCTGGAGTGGCAGCTTGCGTTCCCAGAAGCAGAGCGATACCTCGAAACATGGCTGACACACTCGCAAGTCCGCTGCCTTCTGTTCAGCCTGGCTCTGTACAAGAGTTTCTTGGAGCCCCTGAATGTGCAACTGGGACTCCTCCCAACGCACATACGAACACTCTTGTTCTGGCAGTGCGAGCGGAACTACGCGGCATGGCCAGAGGATCGTCCTGGAGAGACACTACGCAAATTACTAGAAAAACTGTATGAAGCCATCATGCAGAAAAATCTTCCAGATTACTTCATTCCAAGAAGAAATCTCTTTGAGAGCACTCCAAGAACACACCTGTTAAAGGTACAGGAGAAGTTACTGCGTATCAGGGAAAATCTAGTGATGCACACGTTATCAGCAGTCCGCAACCTGCGTTACGTGGACAAATCATTTTATCCCGTGTTTGACTGCAAAAGACTGTACCAAATTATCACAACTGATAACCTTGTCACACTCCTGAATCCTCTGCTACAACAGCCCACACTCAACACAGTCACGCCAAAGATCAAGCAGAACGCGAAGGACGAGGAAGATGACGAGGAATTTGAAGAAGAGGCAGATGACTCTAACATTGACTTGTGGAAACCAGTGATTTCAAAGGACCCTCGCAAGAGATGGAAGCAAGATGTGAGGGCGCAGATCGAGACTGAGAGAGCTGCCCTGAAGTTGGCCAAATCCACCGCACCAAAACCAAGGAGACCATCAACAGATTCCATTGACATAAAGGTATGATATGGATCTTCAATGGATAACTTCAAGCATCCTTACCACTGAATAAAATTAGGTATTTTAACCTTTTTAAATCCAACTTTGTGCGAGACATGAATGACAACCTTTCTTCCATCGCTAATGAACTTTTCACAGTTTAACAACAGCGGACAGAAATATACATTTTGCTCAAAGATGAGGCAATTCTTATACGGAACAGCGACACCGCAAGCTCCTTCAGAAAAGATTTAATTTAATTTTTAAATTGGGCAAATGGATTATTATAATATTACCTGGTCATTACACATCACTAATTTTAAGTTCTTTCTGCTTCAAACTTCTGCCAGTTAAGTTGGGTAGAATTACAAACAAGTATGAACCATGGCTACCCCCCATAATACTTTATTTTTCGTTTCATAATTAACCTCATGGAAGCTAATAATATTCACTTCACTAGTCACGAAATTCCCCGCCTGTCATAGAATCCGACACAGCCTCATCTTTTATTTCTTTAACATCCCATCTGAGCCGCGTGTGGTACATCATAATCACCTTCACTTCACAACCTAAACAAAACTAACTTATGATGTTAATTTATTGGGGGACGACATGAATACAATAAAGAGGAACGCAGAAGTTTTACTAGAGGCTGGTAGACAAGTGGGGCTAGAAGGAAATTCCGAAAAAAACCAAGTACATGTTAGTATCTCGTCGTCAGAAGACAGGCGGGCAGAATTATCTTAGGGTGGCTAATAAATCCTTTGAAAGTGTTACAAAGTTCAAATATTTGGGAACAACAATAACAAATAATAATGACACTCATGAGGAAGTTAGGAGGAGACTAAATTCCGGAAATGCTCGCTACTTCTCAGTTCAAAATATTTTGGCTTCCCGTCTGATTTCTAAGAACCTGAAAATTAAAGTATACAGAACAATAATCTTGCCTGTTGTTTTGTATGGGTGCGAAACATGGTCTCTCACTCAGAGGGAGGAACACAGATTGCAGGTGTTTGAGAATCGGGTGTTGAGGAGGATATTTGGGCCTAAGAGGGAAGACGATGGGGCGTGGAGAAAACTGCACAATGACGAGCTTAAAAATCTGTACTCCTCCCCCAATATTGTCAGGGTGATTAAGTCGAGAAGAATGAGATGGGCGGGACATGTAGCGCGCATGGATGGGACAAGAGGTGTGCACCGGGTACTGGTCGGGAAGCCTGAGGGGAAGAGACCACTGGGGAGACCTAGACGTAGATGGGAGGATAATCTCAGGCGGGATCTATCCGAGATAGGAGTTGAAGGAAACTGGATTTTGTTGGCCCAGGACAGGGTCCGGTGGAAGGCTTTGGTT